ATCGCGAAGCCGCATTGACGCATCAGTAATGTCCAGACTTGCCGACCTATCACCTCTCAAGTTTCGTTATTGACACTGGACAGTGTGCATATCCTCAATGTGCCCGATTTGGTATCTTCTGCTCACATAGTCCTTACAGTTCATTTCCATTGAACCACCGTTTCTTCTACCTCCTTAGGTGCTACTTATTATCCTGGCTCGGCCGTCCTCTAACTTCCGAAGTTTGTCCCACATTACAGCGGCTGCGAAAGGGAAGTCCGTATCTCCTCCTTGAATACATTGACGAGAATAGAGGCGGCGCTGTCAAAACCCTGGCAAACAGGGGAGACGGACCCTCACCTCCGAAGGAGGTTGTTGGGCTAGCGACGAGCATGTTAGGAATGGCGCAGGTTCCGTTCCCTCGCATTGAAACCCTTATTGCAACTCCAGAACGATCAGCACAGACATCAATTTTGAGCAATCTGCTTGACCTGGGCTGCCATTGAGATCTTTAGGCCGGGAGTTTGTGTAGGCCCTCAACAACTTCGAAAGACCGCAAACTCGATGAGTAAAAACACGCCTCTCTCCCCTGTTTACTTACCCTACGACTCTTTCCGTGTCAATTCGTGCTGTATTTGGGCCCTGACAAGGAAACAAGCCTTGACACGGACTTCGCAGACTGATTGCAAGTCGAGAGAATCGTACCTTTTGCTCAAACCTCGTAAGTTGCGTGGAACACCAGGCGCCTTGCGCAAGAGCGTTGCCAACACACCAATGCATTGATTCGCTTATACGAGGTACACATTCGACTCCCCAGCCCAAAGGCTGGCTGCACTGGCTGCTGCAACCGTCCGACTAGTTCCTTGGTCCAGCATCACGAGCATCTACTCTTCCCAACTAGGTAATTAATTCCCTCGGACGGAATAATGACACTCCATTACCCATTTGTTGGCGCTTGGATGTCGAATCCGAAAACAAAAGAGACAAATTCCTGGCCTGTGTTTATTCAAGATTCCAAGAAATACGTCACACATTCATTCTCAGATGATTGAGAGTGATTCAGTTTCTGTTGTCAGGATTATTTTTACGTTAAAAGCTGCTCTGTTGCAACAAACGCCTCAGAAAGCAGAATTTCCATGTCGGGGACATGTTGTCATAACCTCGTACTTGAATAAATCGTGAGGGATAATGTCGAGGTTGACACTTTCCTCTTTCCCCCAACAAAAAAGGATGCCAAAGTACTCGGTGGAACCGCGTCCGACATTGGCAGTAGCATTGGCAGAGCTTGTCAACCTTGCCGCAAGACTTGGTTGGCCTGATATGCGTGATGTGAGAGTACGAGGTACTCCACGTGGATTACGGATGCATCTGTCCGACGGGGCAAGCTACGGGGTTGGCGGACTTCTTTTTGCTTACTTGAAGGAAAGGGGCGACGAGGTAGCGAGGGGGGGCCAGGGAGGCTGGGAGGGTAGGGTCTTTGCCACCATCGCATTACTGAGTTGGCTTGCTGGTTGTCTGAATGGTTCTAGTGTCGTTGGAAGACTTCTCCGATCAGCGCATGGTGCGCTGTGCTCGAGGTGGTTGGTCCGCCTTGCATTCGTAGGTTGGTCAGGCAGCCAGCGACCTTCAAGCGACAGCCAACTTGCCTGACTTGTCCTAGAAGAGAAAGTTCTCCGACTCTGTCGATTTTGGCTCCTCGCCTTGGCGCACGTGACCATAACTACTAGCCCCCACCCTGGAAATTTTTGCGGGCAGTTGATTCACCGAAACTTTTTCTGTACATTGTACGCAGAGCGAGTGAGTGAGCGACTCGGTTGGCCTAACGATACAGCACAACTGCTCCTGCTCCTGCACCAACACCTTTGTTTCCAAAGAGAGCAAATCCACCATGCCTCAGAACGAGTACATCGAACGCTGGCAGAAACAGCACGGCAAGCGGCTTGACCACGATGAGCGAGTACGAAAGCGAGAGGCCCGTGAAGGGCACGCCATGTCCGAGAAGGCGCAGAACCTGCGCGGCCTGCGAGCGAAGTTGCACCAGAAGAAGCGACACGCGGAGAAGATACAGATGAGAAAGGCCATCAAGGCGCAGGAGGAGCGAGACGTCAAGTCGGCTGCACCGAACGAACCCTCGTCGACGCCCCTGCCCGGTTACCTGCTCGATCGATCCCAAGCCAACCAGGCCAAGGCACTCTCCAGCGCGATCAAGAACAAACGGGCCGAGAAGGCGGCCAAGTTCTCGGTGCCGCTGCCCAAGGTCAAGGGCATCAGCGAGGAGGAGATGTTCAAGGTGGTCAAGACGGGAAAGAAGACGGCCAAGAAGAGCTGGAAGAGGATGATCACGCAGCCGACCTTTGTCGGGCCCGATTTCACCAGACGGCCCGTCAAATACGAGCGCTTCATTCGCCCCATGGGTCTCCGGTACAAAAAGGCTAATGTCACACATCCTGAGTTGGGCGTCACGGTGCAGTTACCCATAATCAGCGTCAAGAAGAACCCACAAAATCCACTCTACACGCAGTTGGGCGTGCTGACCAAGGGCACTGTTATTGAGGTCAACGTGTCGGAGCTGGGACTGGTCACAACCGGTGGGAAAGTGGTGTGGGGGAAGTACGCGCAGGTAACGAACGATCCTAGCCGTGACGGATGTTTGAATGCAGTTCTTTTGGTCTGAAAAGTACGGATGCCATGCGTTCAACATGATCAGATGGATGGAAAAGGCGAATCACCCACCCCATGTGTCCTACGTTCCTCCAGCGGCTTTTCATCATTCACAGCTCCTCGGCGAAAATGGCATGGTCCGAATACCCCATTGCTTTGACGGCGATTTTGGCGCTCTGGAGCAACCTCCCCTTGAGACTCAGACTCTGTCCGGGTTTCTCGACTAATGAAATAACGACGACCCGAAACGATCAGCGATGTGTGCTCGAAGTCAGGCTGCAGGGGGTCACAACAAAAGAGAAGGATGAAGCAGACTCACAGACATTGGTGATTTTGGCCATGACACCATAAGTTGCCTTGAACTCCAACGGCTTGAGCGCCCTCCAGATCTTGAGAACCTCTTCCGGCGGCAAGGGGATAAAGTTGGGAATGCTCCAGAGGAACTGGTACGAGATGGTGTCACTCCGCTTGCCCGGGTCGGGATTGTGGCTCGACTGCACCGCGAAGATGGTGTCTGCGACGAAGAGCGTCGGGACGGGCGTGTTTGGCGGGAGCGAGTGCAGGACCTGGCTGCCGGGAAAGTGCCCTCCGCAGATGACCGACGTGAGGCCCGGGAGGAGCTCCGTGCTGGGTTCTGTTAACAGTTTTAGAGTTGCCGACGGCGCGTCTTTTCTGTTGGCCCAGACCGAGTCGACCTCGGTCATGTACACGGGGCAATTGAATGTAGAGGACCAGTCGGCCCAGGTTCTGAGGGATTTGCGGATCCGTTGTCAGCATTGAAGAATACCACACGACGACCCTCAAGCCTGGTAGAGAGACCCGAGACTTGACAGGTCAAGGTCTGTCTTACGTATAAAAATGCGGATGTGAAATGATGATGAATTTCAACCCGCCCAGCTCGGTAATCTGCCAGGCTTTACGCATCAACCTTCAATCCATATCTGTTTCTTTATGTTCCTCGAGCAGTGACCAGGTAATGAACGTACGAACGTACCTTGTCCACGGTATCCTGGTCCAAATACGCCACCAAGTCCCAGAGGACATTGCCGTTGGGCGTCCTGATCAGGCGCGCTCCCTGGCCGATTCCGAACTATCACACAGCCCGTGCTCGGTCAATACATGGTAGTAGGAGAGGTACGATATGATATTATCATATACCCGGATATATATATCCATATACCCAAGTAGATACCCAGGCAGACACCAAGGTAGACAGACACATACGTACACACATACGTCCGTCCGTCTGTCCGTCCGTGTGTGTGTGTGTGTGTGTGTGTAGATAGGGTGGAGAAACATACCTTTGGTTCAGTGTGGATCTCGACGACGGTATCGTTGTGGTCGCACACCTCAAAGACGTTGGTGTAGGGTCCCTCTTTGAGCTTGCGCAGTGTCGTGAACGCTTGGCCTGACGGGGGAACGAATTGTCTGGGGTCCTATGGAGAGGCGGTTATGATCGTGAATGGATGTTCATGGCCACGGAGTCTCAGAGGTATGAGAGCGAGCGACGGATGTACATGGCCCAAGGCTGGCTGTTCTGAATAAGAAACACGACAGACAACCCCCTCTCCCTCTCCCTCTCCCTCTCCCTCTTCGGGGGTGGTACAAACGCAGAAAGGGAACAGGCAGACACGACAGGACTCAATCAGACAGTGCCAGTGCCAGGGTCGAAGCCAATGCCCAGGGCCAGAGCTGGGCGTCACACATACCTCGCAGATCCGACACTCATCCTTATCCCTACCCGTGTCTTTGTCCACGTCGTACTGCGCGCCGCACGCACAGCAGATCAGCAGGTCGTCTGACGTGCTGAGTTTTGGGCCTGCGCCTGCACCAGCGAAACCAGCCGCCATGGCTTAGAGTTGGAGTCGAAGTTGTATATCAAATAAAGGACTCGCTTGGACACGATTTCTTGGTGGCTGACCGGTTGACAGACAGACCGACAGACAGACTGATTGATGGATGGGCCTGAAAGGTAGAATGAGGATTCTTGTTCTTTATCTCGTAGACGCCCTTTCGTGTTGTATCAATCAAAGACTCTCCGTCTGGATGAAGAGATGACCTGGAGGATGTGATGGTGACGGACTTGTCCGTCTTATTCCTACAAGTCCAAGACCCGGATCGAGTTACGTGACCCAGCGAGCCCAGACACCCAGAACCAGACACCCAGACACTGACAAAGGATGGAATGCAATCCACCACATGCTCTTTCTGATATCTGAGGCTCGTACCAGGTAGAAGCATAGTAACCTCTAGCCTTCTTGACCGTCTTGTGAGATACCAACTGCTCATGTTTACCCGTCTTGCACTCGACAAATCTAGACAACCATAACCATCTATCATCTGATCGTGTCGCGCGAGTCCTACATGTACAGGCTCGCAGTAAACACTACGTCTCGTCTGATCAACTCCCGCGCCTTGTCCATCTTCGCATACAGTGAGGGGTCACCAATCAGCCTCGCCGCGCTCATCACTTCCCGACACGTCTCATCTAGCCTGGTGATGACCCTGACAATGGTGCCTTCCATCACGTCCGTCAAGTCGGTGATGCGGTTGAACGACATCCCCCTGGCCCATTCGTAGACGACTTCGACCAACCCAAACCGCTGTCTCGAGACGAAATCGTTGGCGTCGTCGGATGAGAGAATCACTTGGTGCAAGATCTGGTGGTGGTTGACCCGTTCGGAGATCTCGATGATGGCTTCCTTGCCACGTTCGAGGTTCCCATTAAGCTGTGGTTCGCTTTCCGTCTTCTCCTGAAAGACAAAGGACGAAAGGAGGGCTACAATTTCTTCGGGCTCGAACCTGTGATGTGCGTTAGTCTGGTTGCGCTTGATCCGACTCCCCTTTTCCCCGTCACTTACGATGCCAGCACGTTCTCCAGGATCAACTCAGTGATGACAAGCTCGTCTCCCGAGTGGATCTCGCAGGCCACTTTGCCCTTCAGCTGGACACGAGACTGTTCGTCGATGAAGCCGAGGTCCTTCAACACTGCAGTTCTCTGCTGGTAGTCCGGTAACAAGGACAAATTCTGGTCCGACATCAGCATTTTCAGGGATTGGATATTCTCTCGAATCAGCCATTCGTCGTGCTGCATGCCGTAGTGCTTCAAGAACTGGGTGCAATGCAGACATTGGCTATTCTCAAAGATTCGCGCAGCCTCGTTCCTCTTGATTAGAATGTCGCGGATATGCAATTCATGCGCCTTGCTCCATTCCAGCTCATCCCACGCCGTTGAGATCCAGGATGAATAGACGTTGACGAATTCTTCTTCGACAAATTTCCGTTGCGCCTCATCGGTCTGTAGCAGCGTCCGCAGATCGACCTGTTGGGTCCGATAAATGTAAGTATTACCTTTTTTTATCCTGATAAACCTGCTGGGGCCTCTGACCTTGACAACCGTCTGGGTTACACATTCCACATCGTCCAGTCCAACCTGGGTAATCCGCCATTTGACCTGGGAAGCATTTGCGGGTAGAGCAGAGAACATCATGCGTACACGCGGGAGGTACGGAAGCAGATCTTGCGTCGACCGCTTTGCGTCAACGTGGGAGATTTCGAGAACTTTGATGCCTCGATTCGGCCCGGCGCGCACTCCGTCTTCCAGAAGCACTCCGACTGTGCGAATGCCATCCTACACACAGTACTTAGTAGATCCCAACAGAAAGAACGGAACAGAGCCTTACTTGTTTGAACACTATCAGTCTCCTCGCAGTCCAAAGCCGCCGTCCTACCGGAGACGACAGCAAGCTGACGTGGAGTTCTTTGGTTAGCCGTTCGAATTGCATGGCTGCTTCATGGCAGGCATCCGCGTCGATGTCGCATACATTGCAAGGTTCTCTCTTGATCTTGTCCAGATTCGCCTGGGACAACGCGACTTGCTCCTCGTGTTGAGGCAATAGTGCCTGAGTAGCATTTTCAGAGAAGCTGCGCTTGATCATCTCCTCAATTTTCAATGCCTCGACCCGCATGAGGTTCAGAATCATGTTGTAATGCAGTCTAAACTGGCTGCGCAGCTTTGTAGCAGGACCCGTGATCATCTGGGTCAGTTCGGAGGCTGAGGGTGCCTCGGTTTTACCTGGCGTCACGATAATGACTGTCCCTACCGTGTCAAGACCTCGACGTCCAGCGCGACCAGCCATTTGAGTGTACTCTCCTGGGAGCAGATTTCGGAATTCACGGCCGTCATGCTTGCGGTACCCCGAGAAGACGACTGTTCGGGTAGGAAGATTGAGGCCCATTGCAAAGGTTTCCGTTGCGAATAGCACCTTCACCAAAGTTCTTGCGAAAAGAATCTCAACGATTTCTTTCACAATCGGCAGCAGACCTCCGTGATGGACGGCGATCCCGCGACCCAGCATTTCTCGTAGGCGTCTGATTTGCGGCAACACCCGATCCTCCGGTCTGAGTCTAGCAATTGACCTCTCGATGATCATGTGGATGGCACTCTTCTCTGTCGCGGTGCAAAAGTCTTGATTGGAGAGGGAATCAGCGTTCTCTTCGCATCTTCTCTTCGAGAACACAAAGATGCAGGCCGGCAGCAGATTCTCTTTTCGCAGAAACTGGACGAGATGCACCCAGATGTTTCTATCTTGAGCAGCCGTCGTTCTCCCACCGCCACGTCCTGTTCGCGCGATATTACCTTGACCTCTGATCGGCACAGCACCGCGACCTCGCTGCTGTGCACCACCTCTTTGGTTCGAGCCACCGCGCTGAGGCTGAACCCGCCCACCTCCGCGTTGTCCAGGGGCTTGGGCTTCAATCGCTTTCTGCTCTTTGATTTTATCCAGGCCCGACAAGATGTCGTTGGCATCTTTCCATCCCTTCTGGATGAAGCGCTTCTCCGAATCCACGATCTTGTGTATCCCCTTGCCCGCCCACAGATAATGCTCCAAGGGGACTGGTCTCTTGGGTGTGGAGATGACATAGATGTCCTTTTTCTTGGTACGTCCAACCCACGACGCGAATTCGTAGGTGTTGGGGACGGTGGCTGAAAGGAGAATCAGGGTGACATGATCAGGCAACATGATAATGACTTCTTCCCAAACAACTCCTCGCTCGAGGTCATTGACATAGTGTACTTCATCAAAGATGACGAACTCTACATCTCGAATGAGGTCGGCACCACGATAGAGCATGCTTCGTAAGATTTCAGTCGTCATGATGAGACAGCTTGCTTCCGGATTGATTTGGACATCGCCGGTCAAAATGCCCACATCGTCAAAGACGTTCTTGAAATCACGAAACTTTTGATTAGACAAGGCTTTGATGGGAGAGGTATAGATGGCCTTGGTCATATGCTTCGCAGCCAGGGCGATGGCATATTCGGCAACGACAGTCTTGCCTGCCGAGGTGTGGGCAGCGACAAACACCGAGTCGCCACTCTCAAGATGATAGATGGCCTCTTTCTGAAAAGTGTCGAGTTCAAAAGGCCACGTGCGTGCCATGTCAGGGACCAATTCTGTAAAGTTTGGGATGGCTTTGTTAATGTCTACCACGTGAGCCCATTTCTTACCTGGCACCTGACCAGTTGCTCGCAAGAGATCCCCACGAGGCTCTAGGGATGGAAACTCCACTGGCAAGAGGTCATTGAGGTCGGCATATTCGTCCTCATCCTCGTCTTGGTCAGCCTCTTTTCCTTCGCCTGCCACCATTGAAACGCCATTCTCTGCCGCGGCACTACTCTCTCCATTGCTCGCAGCCCCTGTAGGATCTGCACCAGTTTCACCATCGGCATCCAATGTCTTTTCGACGTCTTCTGCATCTTCTTGTGCCTCGACAGATTTCTTGTCTGAAAATTTCATGCCCCTCGAGAACCCTGGCGGCACCTCCAAGAGGCCATCGTTGACTCCAAAATTGATGATTCGGGTGAGTCCATTCGTTTTCTTGGTCGAGTGTCTGTTTTCCTCCTCGAGCCTTACCTGATCCTCGTAAGCTTGAATAGTGTCAACTCCATCTAGTCCACCTGGCGCAAAAGGGAAAAAACCGGCTGACCCCCGCACAAATTCGGATTTGGTTGCTGGTCTCCGGAGAAGTGACGTAGAGTTCTTTGCAGTGGCGCCCGACGCAGGCACTGTGACTTGATGGTAGGCGGCAACCTTCCCTTCCAGGCCTTTGCGGGTGAACCGAGTGACAGTCCTAGTCTGGGTGGGGGCCAACTGACAAATCTCGGCGTAATTGGACGACTGGTAGTCCCAGCGCTGTTGCAGCTTGTTTAGCCATTCTGGGACGAAGGTAGAAGGCGGTGACAGAAACTGGGTTTCCAGCTCGTGTCTGATCTGCTGAGGGGTCTTGGGAGCGTGCGAGGTGCGACTCATTTGGGAGGGAGGGTTGAGAGAAGGTCGAAGTGGTCTAGGGTTGGGTTGAGGGATGATGTGTCAAGGTATTGGGTCCTAAATACGCCGTATCACAAAGGCATGAGTGGCCAGGATGCTTTGATCACACTGTGATTGAGTGCCGCAAATGACAAGGTGACATGGGCTGTGACCAGTAGATGAGTGGGTGTGGGAGAAAAACCAGGATCTCGTAACCCGTGACCGTCCTTGCCTGATCGGGCGATGGGCGCCAAGACACCCGGGGGTCAAAAGAGTGGAGCTGCGGATGTTGTGGACGCCGTGGGCGGGCGCAACCCAAGCCAAACTAACGCCCAGCGGTTCCAGCAACAGCGAATTCTTTCCTTCCTTCCCTCCCCCTCCAAAAATCCCCCCAGCAGCTCGTGGATATTTATTTTGTCTGTCGAACTAAACCCGCCCCCCCTAAATTTGCCGAACTCTAGACCCTTGGCTAAATTCAATAGGCAAAGTCCTCTTTCACCGTCGAACCATCCTCTAACCCTTCTCACTCGGTGAGGGTGTTACTCAACAACCACCAAAGAAAGAAAGATAACCCATACAACCCCTATGACGATAGGCACCTTTCTCAGGCGACATGAACAAAGAGTTGTGCGGAATTCTCAGCATCTTTACGCTCATTATTGGATCAGCGACACCCACACCTGAAGTTTTCAAGTTCTGATGTTCTCGAGTGCTAAAACGTGTCACACAATCCACAACGCCCGGAAATGGCGGCCCGCGCAACGAAGTTCGACTCTGAGCTGCTCAGAATCAAAGACATCTACACCTTACCTGATCAAGACCGTTACGCCTACTATGATGGCAAATTCTGGCCATGGACCACAGCTTCCGACGACGGACCTGTCTTTGCCGCTGTTGGCCAGAAGAGGATCTTTATTGGGCGCGGGTTGCCCAGAGAGCCAGTAATCGCCCTCCAGGAAATCGATGATGTCGAAGTAGAAAGACACCCTGGTCACCCTGGTCTGAATTCTTGCGCTTGGGCTTATGTTAATCCGGCGCAACCTCTATTAATCGTCGCCGGCGCATTCGGGATTTTAAAAGTGGTCGATGCCCTCACAGGCAACAGATGCAAGCTTGAGATCCAGCATGTCAATGCAAACATCAACGACATCGCAGTCCATCCTTGCTACCCATGGATTTTCGCCACCGCCTCACAGGATGGCCAAGTTCGAGTATGGGATCTGCGGCCATGCTCCTTGCCGCGCAGGGCATCTCCCATCATAATTTGTGGAGGGGGGATAGACGGGCACAGGGCTGGCGTGTTGTCAGTTTCGTGGCACATATCCGGCCGGTACCTGGTTACAGGAGGCTTCGATCATTCGGTTTGTGTGTGGACCATGCCGGATCTTGGTGAACGCTCTCCCTTCTGGACAACCATCGATCCAAAGCGGATAGAACGACACGCGTCTGAGGCGGTAGTGATCCACTACCCTCACTTGATCACCAAGGCGATACACTCCAACTATGTTGATTGTGTAAAGTTTCTTGGCGACTACATAGCGTCAAAGGCGGCAACCGAAAACAAGCTTGTGCTGTGGAAGATTACTGGGTTCAACTCATCCAAATCTCCGCCATCACCGATGACGACTGTCAAGGCTGGAGCCCATCTCGACACGCGCAATGGATTCATGCGTACAGTAATCACTGAAAAGGACGGGACGCAAACTGTGACAACTCCAGAAGAGTTCCAAAACAAAGCTCCACTCGAGAGACTGGTCGAACTTGACGCCCCCTATAGTGACGCATTTTATATGCGGTTTGATGTGTGGTTGCCCACGCAAGACCATCCCCATGTATATCCGAGGTTCGCGTATGCAAACGAGGCTTCTGAACTTCGATTTTGGGATCTTGCCCGACTCTGCAGGGGTCATGCTCGCCGCAGGCGCAAACATGGCCGTAAGATGAAAAGAAAGAGATCAGAACCTGAATTGATCCCTGCCTGGGAGAAGCGACTAAAACCGGACGACATCCCTGTTCTGAGCGAGATGCCCAAATTCGAGGCCATTCCTACGCAAGATAGGAAACCTACAACTGAAGACCTTTCTGCCTCACAAAGACAAACTCGAGAGCGCAAGACACTTTCGTTGATAACTGAGCCAAGATCTTTGAGGCTGCGTCAAGTACCCCCGACCGTCGAGCACGAAGATGTAGAGATCAAGTGGGGATCTGTGAAGATCAAGCAAGACTCAAGTGAGGTCATTCATTCTTCAACCCGGAGGAAGACTTCGACTCGACCCAAACGAGAAGGTCAAAATTCAGACAGCGAAACGCCCACACGAAGGGCTCCCATTTCCGCACCCGACCGTGAATCGATGAAATCAACATCAAATTTCACAATAGAAATATCATCAAAACGCGATACCGTGCAAGCGCCCCAGGGGACACGGTACAGTGAAAATGTTGCACACCCTGTCAGAGGGTCAGCTCGTTTGACACCACACAGTACATCTTCGTCGTCTACCGATTCAGACGTCGCTGAAGATACGATTTTTATGAGAAGTTTAGCCCCAGCGAGACCTCGCCTCGGACTCCCGTCTCCAGCCGCTTCAGAGATCGCGAGTGATAGTAGTACTGTCAGCAGGTCATCTCGTTCATCATCAGCCTCCCAACTCCCGTCCCAGGCTTCTTCGGACACCATAGCGGCTGCAGAACGAGTTAAGATTCCCGTGCTTTCAACACCACAAACCCCTTCCCCTACTCCGCCCCAGTCGGATATATTTGGAGAAGCAACTCTAGCTAGACGATCGACTAGGCTGAAGGCCAAGTCTGCGAACAGGGCGTCAGAGACTTCAGATGCCGCAAGAGACACATCTGCTTTCAAGTCGCCTGCTCCTTCTCAGCCTTTCGACAACCTAGGCACAGCAGGAGACTCACCGCGATCCCAAAGAACATATCCTGAAAAAGAGATTATCACAGTGGACGATAACTCTTCAGGCAGCGACGAAGAATATTGTAGCACTACAGAGTCGGAATCTCCCCGCACTCGAGACTTTACAAAACGGAGACTCAGGTCTATGAAATATGAGGAAGAAGTCTTGGATAGTATCGAGGTCGAGGACGAGTTTTCCGACACCCTGATGGGCGAGGGGGAGGGCTCTACAGACTTGGATACTGAGGACGTGGCCCCCGATTTTCCCGAGCCTGAATGGGCTCGATTCGCTACACAGGAGTCTGAATCGCCTTCAGACACGTGGGAACCGGAGGCAGAGCGATCTGTTACTCTGGAGTCTGAGCCAGAGCCTAACAATATCATAAAAGGACCACCTACACTTATTGATCTCCCCGCGATGACCGCGTCCAGGTTGGCAGCGCTGACCTTGGAGACCACCCCTGATAAATTTGACCCCTTCAGAAAACCAGGAAAGCGTGGCTCCCCAAACCGGGGCCGTGGAAGGTATCCCCTTGACAAGGCACACAATTTTCTCAAGGCACACAAGACGGTTTTACTTCATAAACTCCAATACAAGAAGCAAGCACCGTTTGTTGCGAGAACAGTTGCCTGGAGTCCTTGCGGAAAATGGTGCCTCGTGGTGGGTGAGTCTGGGAGGCATCCTAAGGACGGCTGGGGAGGCTTTGCCCTGCTACATCATCCTGATATCCCAGACAAAAGAAGACCGAAGGACTTGTGCCAAGAAATCCTACCTGCGTTCAAGAAAGTTCGAGATGTAATGCTTGACATCAAGGACACCGAGGAAATTGGTCGCTGGCTCAACCAGTACGACGTCATACTCCAACAACTGGCCGAGCCTAGTCATTTTGATGTTGGCAGGGATAATCTCCAAGAGATGGTCACCGCTCTTCTCAGTGCTCACCCAAATCAGCTCTGCCAAACGCTTCTTGAGTCCGAATCCCCACCGGAAGACCGTTCTGAAGGGGATAACGGTGCGAAAAACTATCCAGAACTCGAGACGGATGCTGAAGCAGATGATGAGAGTTCCGACAAAGAAGAAGATGACGGCGAAGAGGGGGATGATGGTGAATCCAACAACGCTGATGATTCGGACGAAGAGAGCTCATCGGACGACACATTTGAAAATGCCGAAGTGCGTCACTACGCGGATTGGTCAATCTACGACTTCGAAGAAGAATACGACGATACGGACGAGGAATTCTATCCTGCGCAGCTTTGGTCGTCGAGGCGGTTGCAAGCTTAGGTGATTTCTGCTGGATATGAGCAGACCTGAGATATCCTCCTCGTCATGCAGGCTCCAGGAAATATGTAAGAGGGGGTTTGGATGACTACGAAGTGAATGATTTTCCTTCGTATATACAAATCCTGAAACATGTAGTTTCCGGTACTTTGTTTTGAAAGTTTTCAACTAGTTGGAAATCTGAAAGCGCACTGCACCATTTTAGTTCACTTTTTGAAACTCTGCTTTGATTGTTCAGTGGCCAGCTACTGGCAGCGTCCTTGTACGTTCACTTAGCCTCGGCCGCCAAGTCCATTAACAATGTTATAATTGCGTCATTCCAGCACTAGCCGCGGCAGCTAATGATATTAAAATGCTTGGCAGAGCGGGTATTTTTCTGTAATCGTGCAAGGCCGTTCCAATAATAACGGGTATTATTCACCGTACCTAAAATCCGCCAGCAGCATCGCAACCCCCCTGCCACCCTGCTTTTGTCAGAGTGTGAAAGATTGATCGACTGACACGATGCCCATATAATTAAACAAGACGCTGGAAAGGCCTGTACCGATGGTCACGTGATCAGAATCACGTGCTGATCACGTGAAACATCTTGGCAGCTTTGCGGCACACACCTGGGGTAGCCCACGCGAGCCCTACTGCAGCGGATACGAATCAACGCCCGCTTCGCGTCGCGATTCGTCTTCACCTCGCCTCATCTCGGCTAGCATTATTGCATACCTAAGTCACCCGGCGCACTCTGCTCACGCGCCCAATTCCCCAAGATTGGGGGTTTTCAAGCTCCATCGAGACGTTAAAGCAATGCGACACATGCCCATGATATTTTACGGCAGCGCTTCACAACTATGGATGGCGAGGCTCAGAGCCCTCCCGCGCAATCGGCGCAGACGCTAAAGTTCCTGCGCTACAGATCCGTCCGTCAGTCGACCGTCAAACCCCCCGAGTCCCAAGGCCCTCCACCTCCCTTGCCGCAGACGTCACAGGCCTCGTTGACGCGTCTACCTTCGAGATACCACCGCCGACCACCACCGACTCCAAATGTGCCCCTACCGAACGAACCTCCGCTGCCTACCAGCGTGAATAGCGCGACGGTCCCAAGAGCCCGAGGCCAGACCTTGAACGGCGCGACTGCACAGGATGGACAGGCCAGACAGGCAGAAAACGGTGTCCGCCGAATGGTCATCCAACATAGCAACAACGCCCAACCTACGACCAGGCCGACGACCAGCAAAAGCACCCCACGCAAGCAGACGTTGACCTCCAACGTACAAGAACCGTCGCCAGAAGCGCTCCGGAGATCCCTCGAGATGGCAAGGGAAGAAGCGCGCTTGCTTTTGGAAGGGGAACAGGACCGGGTGAGAGAAATGAGACAACAAGAAGCCCGGCGCCGGCGTGAAGAGCGGGAAAGGCGCAGGAAACAGGAGGAGAGATTGGCGCACGAGGCCCGTCAGCGAGAAGCTGAGGAGGCAGCGCGACAAGAAGCCAGAAAGCGACAGGATCGCACTCGGTCCGAAAACGCTCGGCACAGTGAACAAGGCGTCGATGAACAACATACATCTCCAGCGCCACCAACGGCGGAGGTTGCCCTCGACTCGAAAAAGTCCAGGACGCGTACACTGGTGATTGGCGGACACGACCCTCTCAACAGACAGGAGACGCGGGCACATCATCGCCGTGCCTCATCAGCGGCCGAGCGGCTGCGACAGAAGCCAAAACCAAGCCATACCAGAACCAGCAGCGCTGGATGGAACGACGAAAAGCCCGATAGCGAAGTGCCGATCCCCAAACCAAACTTCGACGCCCCAGTATCGGCGGTAAATGCTGGGGAACGAAGGGTAAGCGTCAAATGTCGAGACGCATTGATTACGCTGCCCATCACACCCTCAACTACTACCAAGGATGTCCTGAGGTCCGCCTCCCTCTGCATGTCGGAGCCAATTGACCCTCGAACGGCTATCCTGCTAGAGTCGTTCTCACAACTCGGGCTGGAGCGGCCGCTCCGAAGATATGAGCGGATACGTGATGTGATGAATTCCTGGGACAACGATACGCAGAACCACCTCCTCATCATGGCCGACGGCGAATGCGCGGCGCCCGGGCTGCAGCTCGCGGATGCTCCTAATGAACAGCCGTACGGAACCGTAGTCAACATTTACCATTCACACCGGCCTGGAAAGTGGGACAAACGTTGGTTGAGACTGAGAGAGGACGGCCAGATCACCATGTCTAAGAATGAAACAGGCATTGATTCCACCAACATCTGCCATTTGTCGGACTTTGACCTGTACACTCCCACGGCGAGACAGATCAAAAAGCTCAAGCCGCCCAAGAAGCTGTGCTTTGCCCTGAAGAGCCAGGAGAAGTCGGCCATGTTCCTAGATGGGGCAAACTTTGCACACTTCTTCTGTACCAAAGACAAGCCGCTTGCCGACAGATGGTATCATGCCGTCCATTCATGGCGCAGTTGGTATCTGGTCAACATGCTTGGAGAAGGTCAAGCGAAACCGATTGAGCCGGCCGAGAAGCTCAAGCTAGGGAGCAGGCCGGAGACGAGGAGTTCCAAAGAGTCGCTGCCTTATGTGCTTGGTTCATTCAAACCACTGCTAGATCTTGGTTCCACCTTTGAGGGAAACCGAAAGTCAGAGTCGGGTGTCGCCCACCGGGCGTCACAGCCTGATGACCAAAGGCCGTTGATCGATTTCGTGCCGGAGAGGCCGAGCATTGACGAGAAGGCGGGCAGCCCCAAATTCCCTTCCAAGTCGCAAGGAGCTCCGCCCACGTCGTTTCCGCGAAAGTTTACGGCCGAGTCAGCGACGAGTGGCAACGCCGATGACACAGACGGGCCGTTTACTGGGACTGGTCTCCTTGCCCGCAGTACCAGTCGCCGATCGCAGGGCGATCGTCGCGGTGTGCCAGGCAAGCCCTTGGTAGATCTCACTCCCACGAGCGAGTTCACTGATGGCAGTCTGCTCCGGAGGATGGAAACACAAAGGCTCACGGAGCCGAAGATCGACCGACAGAAGAGGAGAGAGGTTGACGTTGCTGTCGGTGAAGGACTCTGAATGGGTGCCACCGTATGATATCGCTATCGAGGAGAAGAGCAGGAAGATAAGGGAGGTAATGAGAGACTTTTCAAAAGAAATGATCGGGCAGGCACTTCAAGTTGAAGTGTGCCTGCAACTGATGACGACCTGCGAGAAAGATGGGGATAATTCTTCTGACTGAATGAATTTATGAAAGGGAGCTTACACCATGTCTTGAGGACTGCGTGCACACGGGGTGTATACCTATAGGTATCTATGTCGATCTCACGAGTTCTACCATACCTCGGTACTAAGTAGTACTTACCAGTTATTATCTACCATGCGATTCTGGATTTCGCAGCACGGTCCAAATCCACTCACTCATGTCCCGGCCATGGGTAGAGTAAGCTTGTACAGTAACTCGTATGCGACTGGCTGGCTACTGGTACTGGTGCTAAGTAGTAGTCCTAGCAGTTAAACCTACAGGTCTGCATGCCCTCCGGCCTCCTACTCGTAGGGACGTTGCCAACTCACGTAGTAATGCTCTTGTCCCAGAATCATGTAGGGACACACGCTGAAAGCCCGGTATTTCATTTATTGTTATTCATTCATTGATTCATACAGTAGCGAGCAGCGAGCAGCGAATGTAAGGGCGGCACGAACACCAGTAGTACTAGTTAGTAGTCGATATCACACCTAGTATTAACTGTTCGATCAAGGCTCTTCTGCTAGATGCACCCCGGACGTCTGCTTGCGGTGAGTGAGCCTGAGGTGACCAGTTTAATTACTACTACTAAGTACATGCCTGTGACGCCGGGGCCTTAGCCCTAAACAGAGAAGCTGCCTGCGATGTGCATGCGTGGGAGTGCTGACATCGCCCAGTACACGATTTACTTCAGTACCTTCTTGGAATTGATCAATAAAAACCCTAAACAGCAAATCTCATTCTGCCGCTGGATTGAATCGCTCGGCGCTGTAGTTGCTGGTCAATACTTGGTACTCACTTATTGATCGTGGATTACCCTTTTCGGCGATTTTAGTGACGCGCTTCGCAGTGTCGTTTAGACTCTGTTCCATGGGGATTGAGTCACTTTACCGTGATCATACCTGGCCAGAGTTCCCACCGCCATCCATTTCTTTGCTCTTTGATAAAGTCTTGACACAGCTTTGCTTGTCACCGCTACACTATAGCCAAGTGATTCATTAAATGATCTGGCCGGTATGGGAAGAAGGCTCCATCGCTAATGCTACTTAGCTGACACTTACTCCGTTTGATCAACCAATATCCTCGTATCGTACTAGCATGGCGATAATTGGGTATTCAGGATGTATAGGAGTGGTTTCGGTGATGCCGGGTGAACGACAACCAATTAGTGCAGGTCGGATAGACCACCAAGCACTCGAACCCTTCAGCAGGTCAGCGAAAGTGAGCAGAAGTGAACAGAAGATTTTGTTTGGATCAAATCAGCCTGGGCTTGATGTACGCAGACACAAGTCGAGGTTGAACTCTGGAGCGATAGTACTCGAGATTCAGTCAAGCCTTCTGAGAAAGAATGGTACTAATACTCCCTCGCGCCCTCCCAAATTAGTTTGCAGACCGGTAGTAAGAGCGCCCCCGCCTGTGATGCATATTACGATTACTAACTTCCCCACAGACAGCAGGAGCTGTTTGCCATGTCATTTTCAGGAACACTCAACACTGTCGGGAGAATAGAGTACTTTATAGATACTATTATGTTGATACTGTATAGGAATACTAGTAGAATAGACACACTGTTGATGCTGCAGCGTCAAGTTTCAAGGACGCATCAATACATCTGACGCAGCATCAGAGCAGTATCAAACAACTGCAGGTGGGCAGGAAAGTACTAGTACTGAGTACTATCGAGGAGAGAAAGAAACGATTCACTCGGCACGAAATCCCTACATGGAGCAAAAGCGCTTGTCTGTTATATATATATCACACTTCTGAGACAAAAGGTCATGAGAAAGACAGCATGAACCATGGTTCTCATGACCGCCGCTTGCCTACCCATTGATATAGGTTTATCTCCAGTACCACTTTGTCGTCCGCATTTTAATTTCCTCTATGAAATGATCTTTTAGTGTCCGATAAGATAACACAGCATTGAGGCAATGGACGTCAGAACTAGAAATTAAATGGATTCTAGTTATCGCCTTGGCCTGGACAGCACAAAGGTGTGCGCGTCATCATCGAGGCCGGACTTTGCACAAGGGCAATTCAATAAGTGGAGATGCAGGTCGATGGATCACCACGTCTCAGCTATGAATTTGGATCTGCGACGTCTTTGGCCTTTTTCGAGCGATGGTAGTTCAGCGCTCCCCTGAGAAATCTACGCGACGCATTTGATCAATGCTGTCTGTGAAAACGTTACGAATTTTTCAGCGATGCTACCAGAGCAGGTGAAGAACATGGGATTTTCCCTACTCACGAACGAATATGCCGCTCGCACATCGTTCACAGGGTCATTCAATGCTATTTGTAGGATTTTTCATATTGTGCCCTGAAAATCTCTGTCTCTCGAGCCACTTTTACCATTCATTACTTGTGCCATCATCGAGACATTATCAACATCATCACCGCACAGTTTACCGCAAGCAGATCAATGTAACTCTGCCGTTGGGGCATTTGAGGTGTTTTTGGCCTGCCAACAATCCTTCGATGCAAGGTCACGTAGAGCTTGTAACGGAGGCGCGGAAGAGTCACCACATAATGAGGATGCTGGACTCACGGAGGAGTTTATCAGGATTGGAGCAGAGATGGAGGTTATGTTCCTGCTCGTTAAAAAATGGAAGGCATTGTTGGGCATCGGTGGTCGCATCAGAGCCTCGAGGACATCATCGCCAGGGGAGTGACCTGCGGAAAAGAATAGTTAGCTCGTCCGCAGGCTAGTTGGATGTCTGACCTGATTTGTGACGGACACGGACCAGAGTCAAACTGTTTCAGACATGGGGTGATGTAACACGTGATGATAAGGGGAGGTGGAGGCTGTGGCAGTGCTGGTGTGGTGGTATTAGTATTGATGATCGATGGTGGCGGTGTCAGTAGGTGGTGGTGGTTTGATGGTGTCGCTTTGCGAGGACCAAGAGGACTTGGGACCTGCAGCTGCCGTTTTAGGCGCCACCAGTGCTGTTGGCGCCCCTATGCCTCTCCAATTATTGGCTGCGGGGAATAAATCTCGCTGGGGAATTTTGCCTGCGACGGAATTGGTATTTGGCCAACTTGTTCTCTACGCACCCTGTCTCTGTTTCCTCTGGATCACTAATAAACAACTAACACCAATAGTAAATAATTTTCACCCTTCACTCAGTTGTCCAGGTACCCTTTCATCATACCTGTGCTCTACATATGTTTCAAGGATTTTCTTCGTTTGATGATCATTGACTACCTGTTGCATGCCGTTCCAGCACGCCACCCGCAAAATGCGACTGCAACGTGCCTCGCAGTTTTTCCTTGCCTTCTATCTCTTCCTGCACCCTTCTTGCGTTCAAGCCGAACCTCAATGCGCCATAGATCCCCAATCAATCGTGACCGATGCCTGCACCTCATATGCGGACCTCGAGAGGCTGAACGCCAACCTTTACCCATCGCTGGACGACTTGACCCAACACACCGACTTCTTTGCCTACTACCGATTAAACCTCTACAACAAGGCATGTCCCTTCTGGACCGATGAGAATTCCATGTGCGGCAACCGCGCCTGCGCCGTGGAGACAATAGATGATGAGAGTGATATACCGCCGATCTGGCGAGCGGCAGAATTGAGCAAACTGGAGGGAGCAAGGGCGAAACACCCGGGGCTTGCCCAACAACGAGAAAGACCGAAAGACCGACCGCTACAATATCAGCTGGGCGAAGACGTGGATGAGAGTTGTGTACTGGAAGAAGACGATGAATGTGACCACAGAGACTATTGCGTGCCTGAAGATGAGGGCGCCGCAGCCAAAGGAGACTATGTCAGTCTAGTTAAGAACACGGAACGATATACCGGCTACGCTGGACTGGGTGCCCGACAGGTCTGGGATGCCATATACAAGGAGAATTGCTTCACCCCGAAATCTCCGAAATATGCCTCGCTGAAACCGAAGCCCCTGCAAGCCGCCCAGAGTTTAAAGGACATCTTCCAGGAATATGGGCGGCAACATGTGGACGAAACGGACGATCTGTACCCCCTCGACGATGAGTGTCTGGAACAACGGGCATTCTATCGCATCGTCAGCGGCATGCACGCATCCATCTCCACGCACATCTGCTGGGAGTTTTTCAATCAGACCACCGGCGAATGGGTTCACAACCTTGACTGCTACAAGGAACGGCTCCACAAATTCCCTGAGCGTATCTCCAACGTCTACTTCAACTACGCTATCCTGACGCGCGCGATTGCCAAGTTGCGGAAACATCTTGAGTCCTACACGTTCTGTTCCGGCGATCCCGACCAGGATTTCCAGACCAAACAGAAAGTACTCGCACTCGCAGACACAGCAGCATCTGGCCCGCACACCTTTGATGAATCCATCATGTTTCAAGATCCGTCGGTCATGGTGCTCAAGGACGACTTCCGCAACCGGTTTCGCAATGTGTCCAGGTTGATGGACTGCGTAGGATGTGACAAATGCAGGCTCTGGGGAAAGTTACAAACAGCTGGTTACGGAGCTGCGTTGAAAGTGCTGTTTGAGTATGATGAGAATAAAAACGGCGAGAACCCCCACTTGAGGAGAACAGAGCTGGTGGCTTTGGTGAACACTCTCGGTCGCCTCAGTCACAGTCTCGAAGCAATTCAAAAGTTCCGCACCGCTCTCAACACCGGGGATAAGAGCGTTCTGGACATCCACGGCCCGCTTCCAGTATCCGCCAAAGGTGACAGCAAAGTCACCTCGGCGGACACTGAGACTTCCGACGAAAGTGCAAATTTTGACGACCTGTACGACGATATAGACAGCAAATCTTCTAAGAGTCCACCAGAGGAAAATTCAATCTCTGAAGCATTCTGGACCGAGCTTGACCTTGTTTGGCGCGCCTACAAGATGGTTTTACGGTCTTGGTTTGAACTACCTTTCAAATTTGGGGCTATTTTCATCATGGAGATGAATCGCTTGTGGAATTTCTGGCTGGGACTGCCGGTGCCGGATCGGTCGTGGGATTTCCACTTCCCTGGCCGCGATGAGCTGTAGGATAGCCCCCCACATTTCATCCTCATCGGTGGTGTTTTGGTGGCAAGGACACTGAGGAATCACTTTTGTATGAATTGGCGCAGGACCTTGCGGTATATGGCAACCAGCATACAGCTGGCACTCTGATTACAGATGGATATGCATAGCGACGGCAAAGATATGGGCATTGGAATAGGCGTTCGGCGTCAACAAGGTTTGTGGCTTTAGATATAGATGTACATAAGATTCAGCGAAGTGGGCGCGCTTCCAATGGTGGTGCAAGCCTATTGTGGCTATGTGCCTCTAGAAAAATTGAGTGTGTCATCGTGTCTTCTCCAAACTGTGAGCATCAAATTGGCGACGGCGTGACACGTGCAGCACTTGTTCGGGACTTGCATTTGGTTGCCCCGCACCACGAGCGCCCAAGTCACCATTTCTTGTTTTCTCGCCTCGTTGGTCAATAAACGCGTCACGCCCGTTTTCAACGCGTCTCAATCTGACGTTTTTTTAAGAGCTGGAGTCCCTGGTCAGCGGACAATTGCTACCAAAACCCTTGTGCTGAAGAGATGTGATCATATTTTGTGGGAAAATACTAAGAGTTTGACTCTCAGCAATGTTGCCTCCGCTCTCTGCTGCTACGGGCACGCCCTGTCCGATTCCGCTTCATGCCGGCGTTCAGGTACAAAAACAACAACAACATCGTCACAAACAACACCTCCGTCAACTCGACCGACAGTCTGTCTCCTTATCCCCAACCAACGACACTACGGCAAACATCGAATTCACGTCTGCTTTTGCAGCGCCTGCGCCGAGCGTCTTGAAGAGTGTCAAACCACGACGCAGAAGACCGCATGACGGGCAGGGCTTCACAATTCATGAAGACAAAGCCTCATTTGCGGCTTCACGAAGTGGTGAAAGAAGGGAAAGGAATGGCACAAGTGGAGATGGCATTGCCAACGAGGACAATCTGCTCAAGGTGGGAGCAAGGAGAGCTGCGATATCTCACCCACCCCAGCGACCGAAAAAGCGAGCAGCGATGGATGTCCCTTGTGCAGCGCCCATACCCCCAACGACTGCTTCTGCGGGCGATGTTGTTGTACAGTCACAGGTGCGAAAACAAAGCGGTACTTCGACGAGACTTAGTCAAGCCGCGAGACGACCAATAACAAACAAGGCCGAAAGGGCATCATCCTCATCCAAGGCTCAACCGCTGCCAACACTCCCTGAAGACACTTTTGCACTCCCGAGGATGGATCCCACAACTTCGCTCAAGCCAGACCGGCGAACTACGATATACATACCGACCGAGGACACGACAGTGCCGAGCATGTACATGGGTATCTTCAGCCCAATTAAGAGGTTGGGCCCGGCGGTGAAGCCCTCTCCAGGGTGGCCAGCAACATCCGCGACCGCAGAACTACCAAGCAAGCCCGATGTCGAATTGACAGGGATCGTTGCGCAGATGGTCGCGAAGAAGCGAGGCGCTGCCAGGTCTAAAAGCACCATTTCTCCAACGCGACGGCCGTTGCAGGTTACGACTAATCCTCTCCAAGAAAGTGCAGTATTGGTGGATCGCTGGGGACAAGGAGGTGGTAAGGAGAATATTCCTCCTGGGCAGAATGAAATGCTCGGCATGAAAGCCACGTCTGGGAAAGGGAGACAGCAGCCGGGGCGACGAAGCTCAGGCCTGGAGGATGCTTATACTGTGGCTCGACAGCAACAAGTCAAAATACAAGCGCGAGTTTTGTCGAAAGGCCCACCCACGGCAATCGTTCCGAGAAAAGCCAGAACGGAGAGTCCCGCCGAGGGTGCCAGCACGAAGCTGGGCGATAGAGGACCACAGTTGAAGCCCAGGCGACCAGGACGAGCATCCGTGATAGGAATCCTAGAACCGAAGTCAAACTTCGCTGCATTGGAACGTGAATCTATTGCGAGAAAGTTATCAGTCCCCAGTCGATTTGTTATCCCGAAAGTGAATCCTATACCAGCTTGTGAGTTATATCCTGTTATTACTGAAGACCTTGTCGATCCTATGATGTACGAGGAGAATTGGTTGAGTCACCAGGAGACGGCAATCACGCAACTTGTCAACACTCTCTTTGCAGCATCAACCGCGTTATGCTCTCCAGTGGAAGATGAAATGCTAAGGCTTCGGTTGCTCGAGAGATATGGAGACCCTGAAAATGTGTTACTCTACAAAAGACTCCAGGCTGCCCTGCTATATGGAGCACTGAGTGTGCCTCGGGATGTTCTCCGCGGTTCTTTGAGACTCAGCACCGACATAGGAAAGCGGAAGGCTTTCACGAATTTATGGCTCGATACATATGAACTTGCGAGTCTTGGGTCCGCGCTGGAAGTTGTTGTTGGTCGACGGTGCCTGAGCAACGGAACCGAGTCTTCGACAGTGTGCCCCGTTACTGAGAATAGCCACAGTGTTAATCGACGTACCTTGCAACAATTTATCGAGACCTTCCTGATTCGAAATGAAGACGGACATCCGGACGAGCCATCTACAGATCATTCATCGTGGTCTTATCAGCGCACGCTCCTTCGGAGTCTGATGCTCATCAAGCTCCTGGACATGATGAAGACAACCCTGAACCCCGTGTCGAGCATGTGCTTGTTCCAGCCATCGGCATCGTACAAGGCATCTGTGAGCGTTGTCAAAGCGCTTTTCCAACAGCTTAATCCAAGCGCAGGAGATCCAATTCGAGCCTTGACCCATATTGGGTATGTGGTCATGCACACACAACATCCCCTGGCGGAATACACATACCAGGTGGAAAATCTGGCGATTGACCTGCGGGATGGAGTGCGTCTGACCAGACTTGTCGAGATTCTCCTGTATCCTTCTGCGTCACCGTCCCTCGAGTATGTGCAAGGTTCGGATTCAACTTCCAGTATCACTCTGCCCGATGGACAACAGTTGCCCTTGAACGCAGGGGACTCCAGCTGGCCGTTGTCTCAACATCTCAAGTACCCCTGTCTGGGCCGCGCGACCAAATTGTATAACGTGCAGATCGCACTAAGCGCAATACAAGGAGTCAAGGGGGTGGAGAATTTGGTAGAAGCTGTCAAAGCAGAAGACATTGTGGACGGCTTCAGAGAAAAGACAGTCAGGCTCCTCTGGGGCCTGACCAGCAAGTGGGGACTTGGTGGACTTGTTGACTGGAACGATGTCGAGCGCGAAATCAAGAGGTTGTGCCGCACGGGGGCTAGCAGTCACGAAAACGACTACTTCGACCTGCTGCCTGATGAAGATGATCACGCGCGATACACAACCCTCTTGAAAGCATGGGCTCAAGCCGTTGCCAGCAAGCAAGGAATCCGGGTGACCAACCTGACCACAAACTTTGCGGATGGACGGGTTTTTGGAGCTATTGTTGAGGAATACGAAGGATATCTCAGCTATGACGTTGGGTCACCAAAAGGTCGCTCCCTCGCCGAGCGGCTGAGGTGTCTTGGGTGCAGTGAGCAATTTGCCATGCTTTTCACCCAGTTGGAAGGATCCACTCACCGTGCGCCTATCTTTACCCGGGACTTTGTAGTGGCGGCATTGGCATTCCTTTGTTCTCGGCTTCTCAACCCAACAAAGGGTGTGAGAGCAGCCGTGGCGATACAGAGGAGATGGCGGTCACATTGGGCCCGAGTGGTCGAGTCTCGCAAGGTGCATCTGAAGTCGGTTGCAGAGAGTTGCGCTGCAATGGCTCTCCAGAGAGGGGCAGCGGGTGCCGCCAAACAAAGGGAGCATGAAGTGGGTCAGCCACTTGCCGGAGACGAGGACATGGAACAAGCTGACGGAGATATCTGGTTGAGCTTGTGAATAGGAGAGGAGAGCCACAGTGAGGGTTTGGCTTGAAGGCGACATGATGTAGTGCGAACCAACCTGAAGTCAAAGTCTGTCGTTTGTAAAGCCGGGCCTAAGCAGGTTTGCGGCATAATTACGGTTACACAAAGGTCATGCATGGTCTACTGAATGAGTCTAATTAGCAAGCAGATGAAAGTCAAATAGTCAATGATGCAGGAAGGGAAATCTGATATCACTTCTGGCGATGAATTGGTGTAGCAGGGAGGAATAAAGGGGGAGTTGCCCTGCGACCCTTCTGTGCCGTGCCAATCAGGCCATCATGGCCCTTGTATGATCACCATGCGGAGGATCGTGTCTACTGCACCTTGTAAAGTATATCATCATCATTATTGTTAACGTCTCTCGTCTCTGTTGGTCTGGGCCCTGCGGATCAACATTGTTCCAGACCCGGCGGCGGTGGAATGACCCAATTAGAGTCTCATGGAATTTTGGTACACGTTTTGACCGCAACTTATTCGGCGCAACGGGCCAATGAGATCAAGTGCTGTCAAATAAACCAATTCATTACGCTCAGTCACGCTGTCTGTTCGCATTGTCCGCCTTCGGTTGTCCATTTGATCCTCCTCCTCAATCTAATCGCTGCTCATTACTTGTCGTGCTCCATGATCTCATCTGCCCTACCGAAGCATGCCCAACGCACATTTGTCGGACACTCCGCTGTGTCTCCATGGTCGAAGGAGACCCCTAGCGGCGCTGCCACTCAGCTAGACATCCAAGCAACGCTTTTGGCGCCGACACATGCAAATTCCCTCGTCATGGTGTATTGGCTGATTCGATATTCGGATCTTTCATTACGGCCAACCTAGTCCCCCCGGCTCCTGGCTAGGTTACCCCTTGCTTAGCACCAAACGTCTGGAGAGGGAGGTAGAACTGTCGACCCATGTTGATTTGGGCCGATCCAGGTCAGGTTTCTCCACGAACCTACTACTCACTAACCAACTGGGAGGCAATCCAGACATCAACCCGCCGTCTATCTTTCCTGAGGTATGGGGGCATGGGCGGTAGAGCCATGCAGTCGTCTCCCCTCTTCCCGGGTTCTTCCGCACCACTCCCAATTCCATTCGAGTTCCAATCATCTGGCTGAATGCCTCGTACGATCGCCCTCCATTATGTGCCCAGGATGTCCATACTCCTCCTCGCGCAGGAGATTGTCAGAACCTGGGGCGGAGCCTCACGGCTGGGCTCGTTGTAAGAGTGGGAGCCTCCTCGCCGCGCACGGACACTATAGCATATAATGCCCGTTCGTCCTCTTCCCAGCTGTTCAATATCCTCTATCGATTATTTCATGGTCTCGGAACTCTTATCCCTCCTCAAATAGAGAAACTCCCATCACAAGTCCCTCAGCAAGTCCTCACCCCCCCAACCCCCTCCTCATTGCAACCCAATCCCTCCCCGGGCCTATCATTCCATCCACGGTTTCAGGCGGCAATCATGGCGACGAGAGAGCTACACCTTGCCGTGTTTTCCGGGGACTCACATGGAATACTGGCGTTCATCGCGTCCCCGCGGACAGGATTCAGTTTCCTGGACGATGCCGAGCCTGACTATGGCTTTGACTACGAAGGCGATAACCCCGACATCACGCAAACGATCGTCGAGGCATCGCTGCCACGACCAATTTTCCCCATGAGAATCAGCCCACCGCGGAGAGAAGTTGAAGAAAGAATCCGAGCCATGAACATGCGCCATTGCGGACACCTCATCCGTGTGCAGAATCTGTTTGCCCGTTCGGCCCTCGCAGAGCGGCCCTGCGCCGACCTGCGCGCTCTGCGAATCTACATGTGGGACCTGGCGTCACCCCGCCTGGTCAAGATGCTGGCTACACAGTTCCCGGACCTGGAGGAACTGCAACTCGGCTTCTGCCACCCCTATATCCACGACCCGTGCCTGCCCCTCAAGTTCTGGGTCCGTCCAGAGTTCCTCGTGTCGTCCGCCATCTGGGACATCTTCGGGGGTGTCGGCCAAGTGCAACCGGCCCACCTCCGCTTGACCAAGTTGAAGAAGTTGACCTTGCAGCGCTCGGGCATCAATCGCTTCCAACTGCAGAAATGGATCGAGTGCAATCCTGGCCTGGTCGACTTGAGGATGCACCATGTGGCCGGCGTTGACGCTGCGTTTGTCCAGTGGCTGGGTCGATACTGCGAACCCAGCACCGGTGACCACGCTGACCCTGGTGCCGCTGCACCGGCAAAGCTGACCACCCTGGCTCTCGAAAGCTGCACCTCGCTGCACCTCGAGACCTTGGACGACTTGGCCTGGCTGGACTCCTTCTTCCCAGCACCAGCGCCAGCACCAGCACCAGCACCAGCATCGGTCACTACAGACCAGGATGACAAGCCTCGTGCTCCAGCATTCAACATCCTATCCTTCCGAGACTCGACACGGGTCTCCAGCTCCGCTTTGATGGCGTACCTGGCGCTCAAGCGCCCGGCAGTGCGACAGGTGACCTTTCCCGACGGCCGTGTCCTGGTCGAGACGACCACCGACCCCGGAAACGACGGCGACTTTGGACCGGAGCTGTGTTCCTCCCGGGCCTATTCCGCGACGCTGGCCTGCGATGACACCCAGCCGTCGCCGGTCCCGTATCTCCGTTTTCGCCGCTTCTCCCGCCGCTTCTCTCGCCGCCTGGCGGGGACGGGGGACGACATCATCGAACCGGATTCGCATGTCGCTTGAGCTTGTTCGTGGGCTTGGGCTTGCCCTTGCTGGGGTTTATATCTTTGTATCGAAGCAACAATCTCATAGTATGTTGATCCCTTGTCGACCCGAGTCTCGAGTCTCAGCCCCCCGCCCCGGGGGGGGGGGGGGGGGCGCGAGGGGAGTGTAACACCCCTCTCCCCACACGGAGCACGGAGGAACGATACATTCATTGTCCCGCCCCATCCCTTGCCGCGCCCGCTGACGCACACGAAAGAGCCTTTGGCCCCAACACGGCATATCTAGTTTGCTTTTCTTTTTTCATGGTTATTGGGCAGTATGTACTCGGTTACCTAGGTATTCAGTCAGTCAGATCTCCTGTTGCATGTTTCGTTTAGTTTTAGTTGAAATGCGAGAATTGATTAAAAAAAAAAAGTAGACACTCTACTCCGTTTCCCACCTATTTTTTTACTGCCGGGGATTTCCAGGGGCTGTGTCAAGGGGAGGCTGCGGGGAAAGACAACAGACCACGGGCGTACTCTAGAAACTCGTGGGGGTGTGTCATATTCATTCAGGGTAGGCACTGAAGACAAGTCATCAAGTCATTAAGGGTATAGCTATAGTAAATGCTCACGGTAGCTTGGGTCATCACATCATAGGCACACAGAGCAAGGCGTGCCCTACATAGTCATCACAAACAAATCAACCCAAAGCTATTGACTCCGATTTTCCAGCAATCGAAACATGCGGTCCAGCTGCGCTTCAAGCGCGGACTCGCGCCTTCTACTGTCCTCTTGTTGCTTTGCTAGTAGATCTTGTTGCCTTGCCACTTGGTCTTGAAGGGTGGACTCGCGTTGTTTTTGCTCTTCCAATTGCCTCTGAAGTCCTCCCAACTGGCTCTCGAGTGAAGCTAGTTGTTTCCGAAGTTCTCCATTGATACCACCATTCCGTGGCTTCTTGAAGACGCCCTCGCCACCTTGTGGGTCTTGGCCAGTCTGTGAAGTCTGCCCGGACTCATCCACGGAGGACGCCGATGGTACGGACGCTGGTGGCGCTGGCGGTGCCGTTGGGTCGGGTAGGCGCTCGATTGCCATCTTGATTCGCTGAAGATGCCGACCAGAAAACTTGAGGCATGCGTTGTAAAAGAAATCGTATGGCTGCCACCGATCTTTGCCTCCATCTTTACTCAAGCTCACTTCGCCAATAATTGTCCTATATTTCACGGTACTAAGGTTTGGCAGCTGCTGAAGGGTCTGGCATTGCGACTCCTGAGGTTTGGTCACCACATGGTGGGCATATATCCTCACTGTGTTATTGTCGTAAGACATTGACAGCCCAAGAGCTTTGCCATTGAGTTCTTCCAATTGGCCCGCTCTCCGAAAAAGATCGATGACGCCGTCGAGAGCAACGCTCATGCTGTAGACGTTCTGTCGATCGGCGATATCGAGAGGTTGTTTGTCGCATTTGGCTTCCCGCGTTATAAAGGGGAAGAATATATCATCCCTGGCCATATACTTGGAGGGTGCTCCAATAGTGATGCCTAATTTCAGAACTTCTTTCCTCGAGAATTTTTCCCACTTGAAGCCGATCGTTGAGTCCGGTTGCGGACATTTCCCGTAGGACGGGAAAATGGATCGTAGCCACATGTCGCTACATGCTTCGATGAGACCGAGATGCTCGAATTCCTTGTGTCCGCGAATTGCTAAAAGCTCGGGCGACGGAAAGAGGTGTGAATGCATGTTCTTCACCAGCCATTGCTCAGACTTATTGTGAGTCAGTTCGGAGAATGCCATGAAGACCGCGTCATCGAGCATCGAGTTTGGTGGGTGGGGGACGCTCGTAGAAAGCAGCCCTTGACAAAACTCGAGTTCCTCTGCGTCAAGGCCACTGGCGGAGTCCTTCATGTAGGTTCCATGTTGTTCCAGGAGGGTGGGAAAAGCAGGACTACTGTAGAAATTGGACTTTGCGTCGGTAGAAGCGATGCTCTCAAGGTCATCTGCGTACAACGAAACAGGACCTAGTGATTCTTGGGACGGCTTGCGTTTGACCGACGGCATCCCTACTAATGCTTCAGGATATGGATCAGGGTATGGTTCAATCGGCGGTGGCTGTGGGTCGTCCTCCCCCGAGCCCTCCGTTCCCAACACCCATTCACGGATTTGTGGATTTTGAGATTGGCTTTCAAGGAATGTATAAGATTCTTCGGAGATGGGATCGGCAACACCGCGAAGGTCGGTCGGAGGCTTCTGGGGCAACAACGGGGTACGGTGAATCTCCTGTAGACGGTGAGCATGCGTTGCACTCCAAGACCGACATGA